TTATAATGAGAGTAAGGATCAATGCGTGAACGCATTCGATTTCAAATTTGGGAGCAAAATAAACTTGTGCGGTCCGGAAACGGTCCGGAAAACTCACAGTAGTACCAGCAGCACTAGCAGTAGCAGTAGCAGTAGTGGTAGTGGAAATTGGAATAGGAGTAGGCGTAGGAGTTCTGGTAAGAGGGTGAGGGAATAGGCAAGGGAGAGAGAGAGAGAGGTTGCGTTTGGCCGGTTTCTGACTGGTTTCTGACTGATTTCTGACCCCTCAGTGGGACCTTTGTCATTTGGAAAAAAAAGCAAAGGCAGAACTTTCGAAATGTAATAGTGGAGACTGCCAGTATAATGCCACTATATATCTTGTAATAGCTTCGGGTATCTTACCATCCTCCTTACCGATCACAAGCCCCGTTCTGTTTTCGACGCATTCCTTTAGGGGTATGCATTAAGTTGCGCAGGGCCCTGGATCGCTCCCCCCAAGAATACGTCGGTAGTACTAAGAGTAGTAGCAAGTCTTATAATGAGAGTAAGGATCAATGCGTGAACGCATTCGATTTCAAATTTGGGAGAAAAATAAGCTTGTGCGGTCCGGAAACGGTCCGGAAAACTCACAATAGTACCAGCAGCACTAGCAGTAGCAGTAGCAGTTGTTTCAAATTCAGCAGAAAAGCAATGATATTACAAAGAATTAGCATAAGATTTTTGTCAAGATTCATTGTATAATACATAACTTATATTTTATGATATTTTATGTATATGATCTGATCAACGAAGAACAAACCCTTCCGCGATTGCTCACTGTGGTACCGCGGTTGCTACGCGATTGGCTGAGCGATTGAGGGCTGTCCGGGAAAAGGTATTTTGGACAACCCCCATTTATGCCCAAAGTGAGCCCATTTGTGAGCCCAGTTTATGCCCACTGTGAACCTCAAAAAATTATGCCCAAAGTGAGCCCCTCGCCTGTGAAAAGTCTGTGGCTAAAAAGTCTGTGGGTGAAAAGTCTGCAGGTGATAGGTCTGTGGGTGAAAAGTTTATGGGTGAAAGTCTGTGGTTGAAAAGTATATGGTTGAACAGCCTTGGGTGAAAAGTATATGGGTGAGAAATATATGGGTGAAAGATGGTGGGTGAAGAGTCTGTGGGTGAAAAGTCTGTGGGTGAAAAGTATATCGGGGAAAAGTCTGAGTGTAAAATGTATATTGGTGAAGAGTCTCTGGGTGAAAAGTCTGCGGGTGAAAAGCATATGGTTGAACAGTGTGTGGGCGAAAAGTATATGGGTGAGAAGTAATTATATGGGTGAAAGAATGTGGGTGAAAAGTATTATGTGGGTGAAAAGTATATGGGTGAAAAGTCTGTGGGTGAAAGTCTGTGGGTGAAAAGTATGTGGGTGAAAAGCCTGTGGGTGAAAAGTCTCTGGGTGAAAAGTCTGTGCAAGAAGAGTTTCTGGGTGAAGTCTCTGGGTGAAAAGTATATGGGTGAGAAGTATATGGGTGAAAGACTCTGGGTGAAAAGTCTGTGGGTGAAAAGTATATGGGTGAAAAGTCTGTGAGTGAAAAATCTTTGGGGGAAAATAGGGGTAGATGGGATGCTGGCTTTCGTTCCCCCCTTCTCAGGTATCTACCATATTCGACCATAAACCCAAATGAAATTGGAGTTATAAACCAACTTAGCTACTGTAACTATGGGGCACCACCCTGCATGTTTCTTTTGTCAAATCCGCAGTGAATCTCAGCATCGCAGGACCCGGAGATGGACCCGCCGTTGCATGAAGCCACGAAACGAGGCGTCACCGTGAAGGTAGACGTCTAGATACATCACTACTAGATCATGGTAGATCAATCTATAGCCGTTAATGATCGTTAATGGGGTTTATAAACCAACCAACATCACTGGGTTTTTGGGCCACCACCTTGTACATTGTTGGGGTAGAAACACGTCGAACTATGTGACAACTGGACAAGATTCCATCTCTCCATGTCTCCATGATTTGCCTGTTGAAAATGTGGGTTTTCCATGGCCTAGCAGAGAGTCATGGCTGAGTCATGGCTTTCCCGTAGACTTGGCTCGAGCTCAGTGTCTCCTTACCCTGAGTCTCCAAAAATAGTAAATTTACTAATTTTTAAAATTTACGTAAATCGAAGAATTTAGGTTAAAAAAAAGTTGAAAAAGTCAAGATTAGTAAATTGATTTAGGTATATACCTAAATCAATTTAGGTTTATACCTAATTTTTTCTTCACTTTTTGGAAGCTGTTTTTTTCTATATGTTTTGTGGAAAAACTTTTAAGAATAGTTAGCAAATGTTTGGGAAAATATATTTTTCAGATGGAATCAATGCATTTAGGTTTATGATTTGTTCTTCTTTGGTACAAGTTTGAGGTAAAAGTAAAATGCTCATGTAAGAAAGTAGCTCACCATGCCCAAGTAACTTGTATATTCATTGAAGATGTTATTAAGGGAAAGGACTTCAAGACAATGCTCAAGTATAAGGGCTTAAGTAAGAAGACTCAAGTAGGTGGCTTTAAGGCAATGTTTTGCAGCAGCTTTTCTTCTATGCGCTGTCGTCCTGAATTTGCAGCAAATGCCTCAGTTTGATGGCTGCTACTTTGCTGGCTCCATGATGCTTATTGCCTGACAAGCAAGAGCGCCACACTGTTTGAACCGCTTTCATCATATTCTCTCCTTTGAATGCCCATGTGAGGCTTGGGTGAATGTAGCGCGACAAGTAGAAAGTGTGCATGCAGAAACGTGTTTTCGATGTGAGGTTCCAAAGTTGCATTTCTACAGATGCAAAATGATCTGACAGGCAACCATGGAGCTGTGCCATCTGCAATCCCTTTTCATAGAGAGCATCGCAGTGAGGAGCAGGCACACACACACACATAAATCCAAATTTTGGACTGTAAGCATCCAAAAGGTCATGTGCTTCAAGATAGAGTCAAGAAGGCAGCCACTTGTTGATCTTGTTCACTATCTGGTCGCATGTAAGTACGCCAGCACGAAAGTAATGCATAGCATAGGCCCTTTATATCAGCTGCCTTTCCCTTGAGCTTAGGATATCCTTTCTCTCTGGTGAACATGGATAGTTTTTCAAGTCTTTGCCTGTAGCGATGATGTTCATGATCCTTCCTCTGAAAATTTTTGATATATTTTTCTACAGTGCGCAAATTAGCGAGAGGTTCTCCAGGAAGTATATCAAAGCAAAGATGATAGAAAATGCTTCCATACGCAAACTGCAGCCACCCGAGCCAGAAATTATGCATCAAATCCAAAGCTATAGTCCAAGCATTGCAACCTGGAAGTCGAAGCAAGGAACATGGTGTAGTCCAGTGGTTTCTCCAAGTGCTTGCATGCAGCAGGGCATGCTGCCATGGGGAATTCTTTCTGTTGTCTTGCCAACTTAATGGTCCAGTAAATTGTGTTCGGCACTGCACACAGGGTTTGCTATGATTGGTGGACACAGGGGTGCCTAGCCACTTGGAAAAGTAATCCAAGTCACCTATCAAGGCAATTAGGGAACAGAAATAGCCACCCGCGAGATGTTGTCCACTTTTTTCCCTTGATTTTCGGAAGAGAAAAAACTATATGACACATGATATTGGGAAATGTTCAAAATAGCCAAATATTAGTCAAGTTTCGCTTCTGCACTTTCACGAGTGTAAGGCACACCTCTCCAGTCCCTGGAGGGCCAAACCCCTTCCCACATAGCAAGCAATGACCAAGACAAAATTCGAAAGAAAATATCTTTTGTACCTGCTGCTGTCTCGCCAGAGCTCTGGGCAAATTTTTCAAATAAGCCAAAAATATAGAGCATGATGGTTTCGCATGCCCCACCCAAAGCATTCTGAATCATGCTGCACCACGAAAAACTCAATACGCTTCTGGACCAGATTTTACCAATTCCAAAGCATGGGACTTCATCTCCATGAATGCTGATGGGAATGCAGCGATTGCGGTGATCTTCGCGATTCCAGAGAGGATGACCTGCCAAACCTGGGTGATTCCTCATACCATCCCAAAACTCAGGTAATTTGCTTGGGTCCGCCAAAATTTTTTGTTCCCAAACATGTTGCTTCTCGTACATGTATGCAAAGAGCTCGTGAGGCAAAAGCAAAAGGGAATCTTGAACACCATCCGTGTATGGCATTGGTGCGCGAAATGGTGAGGGCAATGGGCTACTTTTGGCAAGCATTGAATGCACACTTCTGATGACATGCTTTCCATGCTGCAAGTTAGCGAGTTGATCCAAGTCTGGGAATCTGCTGCCATTCTTGGCCATGTCAATGTCCCGCTTTGCTGCCTGCGCGATCTTGTGAACCTGCACACCACTCATGATTCCTTGTGCAAGCCAAGTCATCAGCAAAACATGCAGTGCACTGGGCGCGTCCGCTGCATCCTCATCCACTCTCGCACGCCTTTGGTGTAGGCCACCTCCTTTACGCTTCTTACCCCTGCCTGGTGTGCCTCTCATGGATGCTTTGTCCATGGATCAGCACATGAAAGACAACTTTAAAAAAAAGTTTCTTTACTGGGCACTGAGCAGCAAAATCTCGAAGAGTAACTTGGACAAGTAGCATTGATGAATTGGATAGGCAATTTTTCCAAAAGTCCACAAGTAAAAGGAATGCTCACGTATCACTTTTCTTCCAATTCACATGTAACAAATTAAGTAAGACATGCTCATGTATCACTTTTGTGCTTCCCATTCACATGTAACCCAGTAAGCAAGCAATGCTCATGTATATGTATCACCTTTGCTTTCCATTCACATGTAACAAAAAACTTTGGACAGAAAGTGTTGTTGACTCTGATGCATTGCAAAGTGAGATGTTCACATCTGTTTCCAAAAGTGTGCTCAAGTAAGCATAAGTAAGCTGCAGAAGTCAAGCTAGCTTTTTCTCACACGTGGATGTGGTCGCCTTGAGATCCAGGCAGCAGTTTTACAAAACCGTCAGCGCCCTTTCCTTACAGGAGTCTCGATATGACCATGGCCAGGAAAGATCCAAACTCAGGAAGCAGCTTTGGCAGCCTTGGCCCGCTGCCCCAAAGATCCTTTCACACCTGCCACCTGCTCGCTGAGCTTCTTGCACATGACTCCTGCGTGCCCAACCAACTGGCTATAGCTTTTCACGGTCAAAAGTGACTTGTCAGGCAGCTCTTTCCACATGTAAACATGGTTCAGGGCGTTCTTCTCAGTGAGCAAGGACTGAACGATGGTCTTCCTGTGTTGGGGAGATGGGAAACTTATTACCTCTGGCTTTTTACTGGTGTGTTTTGATTGTTACTATTTGGCATGACTCTTTGACATGTGATTCACATTCTTGTGGTAGCTGGTAGCTATCTGTGAGTCTTGGAGTTCAGATTTTTTATAATTACCCATGACAATATTGAATGTTGTGCTGTTACTTTAGCTGATTCCTTTTTGGTTTGAAAGGAAAAACTTTTTTTTATTGAATGCATATGTAACTCTGTCGCAAAACATGTGCTAGACTCAAGTCACAAGTACACAAGTAAACAAAAGCCAAGTCACAAACTGTCGAACAACTCGTCGCCATCGGCGTCCACTTCCGACAGCAACTTTTTGCCGTCTTTCTCAATTTTTTCGAAGGCACACATGGCTTCGCCCAGGTTGGACTTGGCCTGCTCCCATTGCTCCTTATCCAACGTCTTTTCCATATCACAAATTGCCAGTGGTACAGATTGGCTTGGAGGCAAAGCCTTCTGATGGGAGCCTGACACAAAGGCTGCATGGAACAGGTTGCTGCTCCAGGTCGCAAACTTGGCATTCTCCACTGCTGCTTGGCTCTTGGTGAGCTGCTTGGAAGCCTCCATTTTGTGGCCACTGGAGGACCCATGGGTTGTCGATTTTGTACTTTCTGTCCAAGCATAGCGCTTCTTGCCATCATCGGCGTCAATCTCATAGAACTCGCCTGTCTGCAAGCCTTCCTCGAACATGGCTTGAGTCAGCCCAAAGCGACCCATGAAGAGCAACTTCGGAAGGGAGTTCTCAGAAATGGTGCTCTTGTGCTCGGTGTACTGCTCCTGAACCAGGGGTGAGCTCAGGAATTGAACAGGTCTCTTTTGTGTCTTGAAAGAGAATATGGTTACAAGGTCAATCATATGTGATGACTGAGTTTTAACTTGAAATTGGATCAGACATAAACATACATAAGTAATCATGCACATGTAGTACTGGACACAGAAGTGCTCAAGTTTTTTCACACACAGAAACATTCTCATGTAACAAAGTGCTCAAGTTCGTTTTTCACGCAGAAACGTTCTCATGTAATAAAGTGCTCAAGTTCTTTTTCACACACAGAATCATTCTCATGTAACAAAGTGCTCAAGTTCTTTTTTCACACAGAAACATTCTTATGCAACAAAGTGCTCAAGTTCTTTTTTCACACAGTCACACAGAATCATTCTCATGTAACAAAGAAATTTGCACCCATACATGCCTTCAACTCAGACAGAGCTGGCGCGTCCAACTTCAGCTGGAGGGTTCCGCCTTCGCGGGACAAGACATTGTTGATCAGCTTAGTTTGGGCAGCCACTTTGCCAACTCTCATCTCCAACGTTGCCTGCCACGCTTTCTTGCACCATGTCGGGAGGGATCCCTGCGCCATAAGCTGCTTGAACTTGTTGGCCTTCACACGGTCCCTGTGCTCATTGCAAGGCTCAAACACGTCAACGGACTCCTCCTCGTCGACCTCAGGAGTCTCTTCTTCACCTCCTTCATGAGCAAGTGCAGCTTCATCTTCAAACCCAAGGGACCAAGAAGGTGCACCGCCCTGGGACTTGGAGGGACCAGCAGCACTGGCAGAAGCTGGCTTCTTCATCTCTGGCTGCTTTGGAACAGCTGGCACAACCACAGCTGCGGGCCTCTTCATGCCTTTCTTGGCTGAAGCTTTGGCCTTGGGAGCCGGCTTTGCCTTTGGAGACTTCTTGGGTGTCTTCTTCACCTTCATGGCCTTCATAGGAGTAGGAGGCACCTTAGGACTGGCCTTGGCTTTGGCCTTGGCTTTGGCTTTGGCTTTGGCCTTGGCCAACTTCGAAGCAGGCTTCTTCACGGGAGTGGCTGGATCATCAGCTCAGGGCGCAGCACCTAAGGGTGTGGAAGGTTGCATGTCACCTCCTTCCTCACCAGGTGCATCCATGTCACCTATGTCGCGGTAGGGAAGCACAGGATCAAATTTGAACCACAGCCTGATCCTTGCAAAAACAAGTTTTTTTTCTTTTTTTTCCTAGGTAGATTGTGATGGCCAAGTAAAGACTTGGAAGGTACTGATTGCAATGATCGTAGTGGTTCTATACAAATCGCCTGTTGATTGCAAAGGCTGAATTTGGAATAAGAATTTGAAGGATTGATTTGTTTTTCTAGGTCACAAGTAAGCCACAAGAAGCACAAGTAAGCCTCATGAAAGCACACTAGTAACCCACAAGTAACTCACAAGTGTGTCCCAGGAAAGTTCCAAAAGAATCCCAATAAAGTCAAAAGCGAGTCCCAAGTAAGTCTCAAGTGAGGCCCTATAGTAAGACACAATTGTTTCACAGGTAAGTTCCAAGGAAATCCCAAGTGAGTCCCATGTAAAACACTAGTACTTCACAAGTAAGTCCCAAGTAAGCCCAAGTAAGTACCTAGCAACCCAAAAGTAAGTCACAAAAAACCCATAAGTAAACCACAAGTAACCCACAGGTAAGTCACAAGTAACCCACAAGTAAGTCACAAGTAACCCATAAGTAAGTCACAAGTAACTCACAAGTAAACCAAAAATAGGAAACATTGAACAACCAAATAAGTCAGAAGTGGGTTGACATGCACAGGTAGAGACATGAAATATTATCAATCTGATTATTGTGAACACTAATGCTACATTTGCCCTTGGATATAGTTATATATTATGTTTGAACTATTTTATCCCATAACATTGCAGATTACTTGTGTTACTTGAGAACCTGGCAGGTTAGTTGTGCTGCTTGAGAACCTGGCAGGTTGCTTGTGGGGCATGTCTTACTGCAAGAATGGTAGATAGTGCATTGTTTATTTTATTTGTGTTGCTACTTGGATGAAATTGAAAACTTCTGCAGGTCACATTTTATTACTTGAGGATTTGCCAGATTTTTTTTAAATTGGTGTTACTTGTATTTCATGAAATGTTTGGAAGGTACTTCACAGATCCCCTGAACAGAAAAAATGTAGTCAGGACAGTAGGTTTTGGTGTTTTTCTGACATCTATCTATATATATATATATAAATAAGTATATTATTCAACCTCAGTTCATTGAAAATCAACCTTGGTGATATCCAGATAGGTTTTGAGAAAACACAATGGGTCTTGCTGGCTTTGGTCCATTTGTTCTCCATTTTTTTGATAAAATTTGAAGAAAATTATGATGCACTTTTTGTGCACTTTTTATGCACTTCTTATGCACTTTTTATGCACTTTTTATGCACTTTTAAAAAGTGCATAAAAAGTGCATAAAAAGTGGATAAAAAATGCACGCAAAATGCATAAAAAATGTATAAAAAATCATTAACAAAATGATCAGAAGTGCATAAAAGTGCATAAAAAGTGCATAAAAAGTGCATTAGAAATGCATCAGGATTTCAATAAACAATTTCTTTGTTCAACAGAAGCACAAGATAATTACTAGTAATACAATATCAAGCAACAGCAAAAACAGCATAATGATGCTCAAGTAATACTGACATGCTCAAGTAAAAACATGCACATTGAACACCAACAAACCAAATTTCAACACATGCTTCTAATCAAACATCCAACTGCTCAAGTAAAGAAACACTGAATCAGATGCATCACATTTTCAAAATACTGTTGCGCAGATGGTCAGCGATGTTTCTTCTTCTCCTTGTCCTTCTTCAGCTCTTTGTACAGAAGAGACAAAAACCTGATGGCTTATGCAGTGGCCAAGAAAATATCAAGTATCCTTAGCATTCCAACTTGTGTATCATTTGACATCATCCCCAAACAAATGAACAAGTATAAATATAATGCTGAGAAACCTGGCCCTGCTTCTTGGTGATGTTGATGATGATTTTGCCCTTCTTCTTCTGCGCCTAGACCTTGATCTCCTTCTGTAGCCATGGTCAGGTGTGTCATTCTCATCATCATCATCATCATCATCATCTGCCTGAACCTGGTTGTTCATTGGTCCCTTGTCTTCAACCTCGTCAGCGCTATCCCTGCTTGGCTCATCTTCCTTTTCCTGGGAGTCTTGCTCTACCTCCTTGTCTGCGTCTGCTACTTCTCCATCGGGTTTCTGGTTCTCTTCAGTCTTCACCTCCAGTAAGCCTTCCAAAGTGTCCAGAAGCTCTGCATCTTCAAGACCATCAGCTGTATCATCATCGTCATGGACAGCTTGGGAAGCTATAGATGATGCATCGAGAACCTCATATGCATCATCTTCTACTTCAACAGTCTCCCACTCATCCTCTTCCTTCACCTCAGGTTCCTCCTCTTTTACATCCTCATTTTCAGATGGTTCTTCCTTGGCTTCCTCATGCCCTGGGTTTTGATACCACCAAGCTTCGGCCATCTCGTTCAACTGCTCCACATTCAAATCTGCAGATGTTTCAGCTTGTTCACTTCCTGGTGGATAAGGTTCCTGAGTTTGTGGTGGCTTGATGATTCAAAAACATTTGTGCAAACACATGTAAGTATTCTGTGAAAAAACTCATCCACAGGTAACTTTTGCCATCCACATGTTATTTAAGTAGATGATAACCTTATGACTTACACATGTAATGTACTAGATATGAATGAACAAATCACCATGTAAAAGGAATGCATAAGTAAGGACCAAAATCAGGTTCAAGAGGTACTGCTTGAGTTTTCACTGGGATGCCAGGCTGAGGTCGGCTAGGTCTGATGTTTTGCAAACCATATGGGGGAACAGGTGCATGCGCTGGAGGATGTGCTGACCAGCCCCCTTGAATAGATTTGGGTTTAAACAGGGAAATACATTGAACATAAAAAAAACATGAAAACATTGAAAGAAACGTTCCACCAGGGATTTGGAACCTTTGGCATTGGAGGGTTCGAAGCATCACTGGGAACTCGAGGCATTGGTCTTGGAGGGTTCGAAGCAACTGGAGGCGGTGGTCTTGGTGCAGATGCCATAGCAGGAATTGCAGGCCCTGGCACAGATGGCATAGAAGGTGGAGCCATTTGAACACGTGGTGGGTCAGCTAGAACAGCATGCAAACCTGGCAGCTCAATGTTGGACCCAAAAAATCATGAGACATCTCAAAATAGGGGTATCCCAACGCTTTGTGTAAGTTTTGCACATTTCAAAAAAAGGGCAAGGGGTGCCCCTGGGCACCACTATTTTCAGACATCACCATTTATATATATATATATGTATATATATATATGTGTGTGTGCTTTATTAAATTAAACAATGGTGTTTTTATTTTTTCGAAAATGATTGCCAACAAAAAACCAGAAACCTCGTGATTCCTCTGGAACTGAAATTCCACGCACATCGTTGCCATTCAAGGCATGGATGTAATCTTGTGCAGTCTCAGTATCAGGAACACTTAGGTATACAGAGCAATGTCTTGCCCCCACTGTTTCATTGCTGTACCTCTCCTTTGTGATCTTGATCTCACCTGTCTCCCAGAAACCAAGCTGTTCCAGAGCCCATCCAATTTCCTGAGCAATTGTCCAATCAAACACACCCCAGGAAAAAAAACAAAAACTTGGAGGGTGTCTTAGAGGCAGTAAACAAAAAACTTATTCAATCAAAAACCAGTGTCGAACTTCCTGCACCTGATGTCGACATGTTGCACAAACACTCTGGCCATTGCTATAGTACTGAACTTACAGGTGGCCTGTCATGTTTCAAACCTTGAGACGTGTTTTTCACCAGTTTGCACTAAGTTTTCTTAAGTCTTTGATTGTGCAGAAAATGAAAATTGAAATGGTTTGGCTGCCTAGGAAAGTTTCAAACCACATCCACCTGAGACACACAAATGTGGCAGCAAAGATAGTGATACATGAACTTACTCATGTAAAATTGCAATTATTTCCATGCATGTTCCTCATACTGATGTCAAAGTGCTCAAGAAACCAAGCATGCTCAAGTTGATACCAATTACAAGTGTTGAAACTAAACATGCTCAAGTAAACAGTTGAACAACTGACACTTAAGTAAATTTTGATTCTGAAGATACCCAAACTGAACATTCCCAAGTAAACTGTTGAACACTGGACACTTAAAGGTTTTTTTTGAAACTGAACATACCCAAAAAAACCATTGTAACTACACATGCTCAAGTCAAACTATCCAAGATGAACACGCTCAAGTAAACTGTTGAAACTGAACATGTTCAAGAGAAACTAGTGAAAATTAAAATGCACAAGTAAATGGTTGAAACTGAACATGCTGATGTAAACTCTTGAAAGTTGACATGCACAAGTAAACTGTGGAAACTGATGGAGGTTGTGTATCTCACCAAGACGCATGCAAACCGAACTCAAGTGAGTGAAACTCATTCACACATTGACTTTCAAGCAATGCAGCCGGAATTGCAGATGACATTTTGTCTGGCAGGCGCATGGATGTTCAAAAACGCATGGCTGGCCCAAAAGGCTGTCTTGTTGCATAGCCAAGAAAATATAATCACAGCACTGGTGGCTGCTCTCAACCATGGGTAGTATCATCGCCCATACCGAAATTGGGCTCCTTCCAGCTTTCAGCCAAGACTTTCAACTGCTCTAACTGCTTCCCAATTTCTTCACGTCGAAAGAGGATCAACTGGATCACCAAAGTGTGCATCTCCTTGAGGCGACCCATCTCTGCCATGTTGTACTGGATCTTTTTGATCAGCTGCTCCACATCTGACTGAACTGTGGAACCAGGGCCTCCCAAAGGGGCAACTTCCTCCATGTGGTTGTTAGCCAGGTCATAGGCAACTGAAATGAACTGCTGGAGGTCCACCGCAGTCTCAGGACGACGAGGAAGTTCTGAACTCCTACTAGCCATTGCTAGGCAGCCCCTACACATCCAGGTTGATCCCAAAAAAAACTGCACACATTTTCTCTGTTTTTTTTACCCACAAGTAATGATAGGTGTTCTCAAGTAAATGCCTGCAAAAAAACTTCTAAGACTGCTCAAGTAAAGCATCCGTTTTTTTCCTCAAGTAAATATGGGCGCACCACAGCACTTCTATTTTTCCCCAAGTCTCAGAATTGCTCTAATATTTGAACTGGAAACACCAGTCAGTCAACATCTTTGGCAAGTTCGGCTTCAACCATGGCCAAAAAGGGATTGGTGTCCGCACCTTTGGGGACAAACCTCCTGCGTTTCAGGTCAGTAAGCGGAACACGACAAAGGATCTCTGCACGGCGCAAACTTGCAAGCCATTGCTTGTTGGCCTCAGCTTTGGAGATCACATTGCCCTTTTTTTCTTCCTTCTGAAGGTACCCCTGCACCCAAATTTGCTGCTCCTTCTTCATTTCGCCAGGCTTGTACTCTGTCTCTGCAACCTCGGACTTCGCAGAATCTTTTGATCCCCCAGATTCCACTTTTTCAGGTTGTTTCTTCTTCTTCCCCTGACCTGACATGGCCTTTGTCACCTTGATCTTCTCCTTGCTTTTCTTCTTCTGAGTGGTTTTCTCTGTTTTCTTGTGCTTTGTAGTTTTGTTTATTTCCTTTGGCTTCTTGGGGGCAGCTTTGGGTTTCTTCAAAGTTGCTGCTGGTGTGTGGCCTGCAGCCTTTTGCAAAACACTTGTAAACATGGTCGAAGCATCGACTGTCGGTCTCTTTGACTTTCTATTGCCTGTGTGCTCTGTCTTGACAGCTGCCTTTTCTGAAACCGCAGGCGCTGCAGGTGCTGCAGGAGCTGGTGCCTTGTTGCCATACAAGATTTGGCTGAACACTGCAGGCATAGGTGGCAAACCACACTTGCCTTTGCCCCGAAACACTACGATTTCAGTTGTATGCGGTTTTTCTGGCTCCACTGGAGGTGGTAGTGGAACAAGTTCCTCTCTCAGTGGTAAACCAGCAAGATTTTGAATCTTCTCTTCTTCATAGTCGCATTCTACTTCTCCTCCAGCCATCAACTCAGGTGGCAAGATACACCTGTCTAAAACCGCATCTAGCCGAACTTGTTCTGCACGACTCAGGCAGCGCCAAACCTTCACCTTCAGATTTGGGCTACTTTTCAAATTTCTCACCATATTCAAAAGCACACGGATCATGAAGTCCAGGCGGTCCATGCAGTCCTCCGCGGAATGCTTCTTGTTGGTTCGAAGTTCCAAGTCGTGGTTCTGTGGTTCTTGTACAAAACCTCCAGGGCCCTTCTCATTTTGACACCTCCAATTTTTGAATTTTTGCATACTTCTAACAGGTCGTACAAAAGAGCTGAAGTTTTCACAAGCCAGTCTGGAGCAGGGGGGCTGTGCCAGCCAAAGCTAACAGGCCCAGACGGAGGCGGCTCCACACAGGTCTCCAGGCACTTGGTCTGCTTGTACTTCAGGAAGGCCACTAAGATGGCCACCAGAGATGTCACACTGATGGCAGGGTCTGCAGTGAGTCGGAATCTGGTCTTCTGTTTCAAAGATCTGTCTTCTTTCAATTTCTCCATCCGGTCCTCCACCACAGCATCTAGTGCAGCCATGCTCCAAGTAAAAGAAAGCCCAAAAGCTTCTATACAACGGCTTCACAGCCCCCAAGGCCAAAATGGCGACCAACTAGAAAAGAACATATGAGTTACTTGAGTTACTTGAGTTACGTGAGTTTCTTGAGTGGAACTAATTACTTGAGTTACATGAGATAATGGAAATTACTTTACTTCGTGTGATCCCCACCATGACATTTATACATTTTCTTACTGGCAAATCTTCTGGCATTCTATCTGACATATCTTCTGACATTCTATTTGACATTCTATCTGGCATATCTTCTGGCATATGATCTGGCATATCTTCTGGCATATCTTCTGGCATTCTATCTGGCAAATCTTCTGGCATTCTATCTGGCATATCTTTTGGCACTCTATCTGACATATCTTCTGGCATTCTATCTGGCATATCTTCTGGCATATATTCTGACATATCTTCTGGCATTCTATCTGACATATCTTCTGGCATATATTCTGACATATCTTCTGGCATTCTATCTGACATATCTTCTGGCATATATTCTGACATATCTTCTGGCATATCTTCTGGCATATCTTCTGGCATATCTTCTGACATATCTATCTGGCATATCTTCTGGAATATTTTCTGGCATTCTATCTGGCAAATCTTCTGGCATTCTATCTGGCATTCTATCTGGCATATCTTCTGGCATATTATCTGGCATTCTATCTGGCATATCTTCTGGCATATCTTCTGGCATATGTTCTGACATTCTTTCTGACATTCTTTCTAACTTTCTTCTGCACATTCTTTGTCCCATATCTTCCTACATGAGGTCCGGCAGGGAACACTTGGCGTGGATACTCGCGGTTGAGGTCCGGCAGGGAACACTGGGCGTGGATGGTCGTGGTTGAGGTCCGGCAGGGAACACTGGGCGAGGATGGTCGTGGTTGAGGTCCAGCAGGGAACATTGGGCGTGGATGGTCGTGGTTGGTCCGGCAGGGAACACTGGGCGTGGATGGTCGTGGTGGAGGTCCGGCAGAGAACACTGTGGATCGCGGGTCGCAGTTGAGCAAGGACGACGAGGACGACGAGGACGACGAGGACGACGAGGAGGAGGAGGAGAGGAGGACGAGGCAGGAGGAGGCGGAGGAGGAGGAGGAGAAGGAGGAGGAGAAGGAGGAGGAGGAGGAGGAGGCAACTGACATAAAATCTAACAACCCTCACCTGGCAGGTGGGGAAAAATTACTTTACTTCGTGTGATCCCCACCATGACATTTATACATTTTCTTACTGGCAAATCTTCTGGCATTCTATCTGACATATCTTCTGACATTCTATTTGGCATTCTATCTGGCATATCTTCTGGCATATGATCTGGCATATCTTCTGGCATTCTATCTGGCAAATCTTCTGGCATTCTATCTGGCATATCTTCTGGCATATATTCTGGCATATCTTCTGGCATTCTATCTGGCATTCTATCTGGCATTCTATCTGGCATATCTTCTGGAATATCTTCTGGCATATCTATCTGGCATATCTTCTGGCATATTTTCTGGCATTCTACCTGGCAAATCTTCTGGCACTCTATCTGACATTTTATCTTCCTACATGAGGTCCGGCAGGGAACACTTGGTGTGGATACTCGCGGTTGAGGTCCGGCAGGGAACACTGGGCGTGGATGGTCGTGGTTGAGGTCCGGCAGGGAACACTGGGCGGGGATGGTCGTGGTTGAGGTCCGGCAGGGAACACTGGGCGTGGATGGTCGTGGTTGAGGTCCGGCAGGGAACACTGTGCGTCGAGGGTCGTGGTTGAGGTCCGACAGAGAACACTGTGCGTCGAGGGTCGCAGTTGAGCAGGAGGACGAGGAGGACGAGGAGGAGGAGGAGGAGGACGAGGAGGAGGAGGACCAGGCAACTGACATGAAATCTAACAACCCTCACCTGGCAGGTGGGGAATGAAATGGACATTCATCCATGTAAAAGATCCACAGTCTGCAGCTTACCTGTGGACATGCTCAAGTAAGACCCTACCACAAGCAACAGAAACACCCCTCACGCAAACCAGCTGTCGCAAGTAAAAACATCAAAGAGCAAACTCAAGTAAACACAAAACAAGAACATCACAACTGAAGAGAAAGCCATGTGCAAGATGCACAAGTAAACACACAATTGACATGCCCAAGTACAAAAAGCTCAAGTAATATCCACAAGTCCTAGAAATAAACAGCAAATAAACATGCAACTTTCATGCCCCCAAGTACAAAAAGTTCGTAAGTGACATACACAGGTCCCATGAATAACAAGCAAATAACCACACAAAATTAACATGCCCAAGTACAAAAAGCTCAAGTCACATACACAAGTCCAACAGAAAAAAAATACTTTACTTCGTGTGATCCCCACCATGACATTTATACATTTTCTTACTGGCAAATCTTCTGGCATTCTATCTGACATATCTTCTGACATTCTATTTGGCATTCTATCTGGCATATCTTCTGGCATATGTTCTGGCATATCTTCTGGCATATCTTCTGCAATTCTATCTGGCAAATCTTCTGGCCTTCTATCTGGCATATCTTCTGGCATTCTATCTAACATATCTTCTGGCATTCTATCTGACAGATCTTCTGGCATTCTATCTGGCATATCTTCTGGCATATATTCTGACATATCTTCTGGCATTCTATCTGGCATTCTATCTGGCATATCTTCTGGCATATTTCTGACATATCTTCTGGCATATATCTTCTGGCATCTTCTATCTTCTGGCATATCTATCTGGCATATCTTCTGGCATATTTTCTGGCATTCTATCTGGCAAATCTTCTGGCATTCTATCTGGCATTCTATCTGGCATATCTTCTGACATATCTTCTGGCATTCTATCTGGCATTCTATCTGGCATATCTTCTGGAATATCTTCTGGCATATCTATCTGGCATATCTTCTGGCATATTTTCTGGCATATCTTCTGCATTCTTCTGCACTCTACTATGACATTCTTTTCCCATATCTTCCTACATGAGGTCCGGCAGGGAACACGTGGAACTCGCGGTTGAGGTCCGGCAGGGAACACTGGGCGTGGATGGTCGTGGTTGAGGTCCGGCAGGGAACACTGGGCGAGGATGGTCGCGGTTGAGGTCCGACAGGGAACACTGGGCGTGGATGGTCGTGGTTGAGGTCCGGCAGGGAACACTGGGCGAGGATGGTCGTGGTTGAGGTCCGGCAGGGAACATTGGGCGTGGATGGTCGTGGTTGAGGTCCGGCAGGGAACACTGGGCGTGGATGGTCGTGGTGGAGGTCCGGCAGAGAACACTGTGGATCGCGGGTCGCAGTTGAGCAAGGACGACGAGGACGACCAGGACGACGAGGACGACGAGGAGGACGAGGAGGAGGAGGAGGAGGAGAGGAGGCGGAGGAGGAGGAGGAGAAGGAGGAGGAGGAGAAGGAGGAGGAGAAGGAGGAGGAGGCAACTGACATAAAATCTAACAACCCTCACCTGGCAGGTGGGGAACAAATAGGAAAAAACAAGCATGTTCATTATAAAGAAAATATCGTTAGAATACAAACTCTACATGCAAACAAGTATTACACTTGAACAGTGCAAACAAGAAACTCCAGTCAACATGTTAAGAATATCAACAGCAAAAACTTCAAAAAACTAACAAAATCAATCAAAAAAGTATGATTTTATGTATGTGAAAAACATGACAAAAATTTAGGTATATACCTAAATCAATTTAGGTATATACCTAAATCAATTTAGGTATGTACCTAAATTTTTTGCAATAGTAAATATTTACTAAGCTAAGTAAAATTTTACGTAAATTTTTCGACCTAAATCCAAAAATTTACGTAAATTTTTGCCGACCTAAATTTTACTATTTTAGGAGACTCAGGGTAGTCTCCCGTCACTTCAGTCACCATGGGCATTGGCTCCTCAGTGGACTTGTCAGTGCCCCCTGGGGGATCCACCATCATTCTGATGGACCCGCAGGACTGACATGGACTGACATGGATTTTGAGCATAGGAAACCCATGAAAACCCTGTACACACCTGATATCACATGATGATATTTGATAGCTGCCCCAAACTTTGGGGATGTGAAACGTCAATCGAAATCGAGGCTTCGAGGAAAAACAAAAAAAGGGCCGAGCCGAGTGAGTCACAGACATTCCAGGAGTGCATCCAAACGAAGCCGTCGTTGAAAACGACTCAGAAGCCGCTTTGCTTGTCCATCAGCGATTCCCAATGGAACGAGTGGATCGGACAGTTGTCCGAGATTGTCAGCTCATATTGGAATGAGATGCTCGGATGAAAACTGAGGCTTTAGGGCTGTGCACAAAGGATGCACAAAGGATGTCTGAAAACAGGGGGGCAATCCATTCCCACATTTTCCCTAGGCCCTATTCAAATTGCAAAAGTATGCAGCACTTCTTCCCATTTACAGACAAACACACGCACACAGACACACAGACACACAGACACACAGACACACACACACACAGACACACACACACACAGACACACAGGCACGCACACAGGCACGCACACAGGCACGCACACAGGCACGCACACAGGCACGCACACCAGCACACACACACAGGCACCACACACAGGCACACACACAGGCACACACACACAGGCACACACACACAGGCACACACAGACAGGCACACACAGACAGGCACACACAGACAGGCACACACAGACAGACACACACACAGACAGACAGACACACACACACAGACAGACACACACACAGACACACATAGACACACGCACACACACACATAGACACACACACAGACACACACACAGACACACACTTTGGTAAACTCCATAATGGAGAGGGTGAAATGAGATGAAATGATAACCGTCATGTCGTGTTGTTACATTAGCATGTCATGTCATGTCATGTCATGACATGTCGGCTTGGGTGGTTTTTGGCTTGGCCACCTTGCCATTTCGGATGCAGGTACGTTTTCACGACGACATAGATGGGTCTTCGTTGGCCCGTGCCGTC